ACCAAGCTTTTAAGCCCAGACTAAAATAACCAAAAAAATCAAAAAGTCAAAAAACCAACCCACTTTCCAAACGGAGTCTATGCCAGTGTTGAAATTATGTGTTCTAAGAATTACCTACTACGAGCCCTGGTTCAAATATACAAAAGGATACTTCAGAGGCTGGCCAAACCAGGAGTTTAAGTGAGTAATAAATTCACTTGTACTTTTTGTCGGACTATTGGATAGACAAATCTCATTTGTTGGATGTTTAACATAAATAAGTATGAATCTGCAACTTTCTAATCTTCTTAACACATTGTGGTTTATTTGCATCTACTAAGCATAAACATTTAGGAATGTGGTATGTTCATATCTGATATTGACACTCATCAAGTCTAAATGTGTCCTCTTTTTTTAATTTTTAAATATTAAAATACTCTTTAAGCACTTACGGGAAACGCATGTTCATCACTTAGACACTTATGAAACACATTATAAGTATGAACAAAATAACTGAGAATCCAATGAAAAACAACGTAAATTTATAGCTATGAGTCCTGTAAATTTTAGAAATTAGTGTTATATTGTATTTATAATCAAACATATTTTTAAAAATTTTCTTCCAAAAACATGTTTCAAAAGACAAACCAAACATAGGTGTTTTCCCGAACTTTTTAATTATTTTTCTTTTCCAAAACACAACCAAACATGCTTTTATGGATCTAAATTAAGAAGATTGAGTATAACATTATGGGATTGGTAACCTTGACAGGATATTTAATTCCAAAAGGATGGAAAGTGATGCCATTGTTCAGGAACATTCATCACAACCCTGAATTCTTCCCCGATCCAAAACATTTTGATCCATCAAGGTTTGAGGTATGTGACAGTAGAGCTTCAAAGTCTTCATTAGCTTTTGGCTGTTAAAGGTTTTTAATTTAGTAATGATATACAAACATAATTTTTATGCCGAATTAATGTGTTGAATGATGACGTGGCTTTTTGTAAATTGTTTTCTTTTTTAATTTAATTTTTTATTTTTATTTTGTGTGGTGGTGGTGGATTTAGGTTGCTGCACAATCAAATACATTTATTCTATTTGGGAATGGGGTACATGCTTGTCCAGGTAATGAGCTTGCCGAATTAGAGATGCTTATTGTGGTCCACCATCTTGTTATCAAGTTCAGGTATATGAAAATGACATCCAAAATTTTCTTATGCTTACAAAAAAAAAAAAAAGGAAAAGAAGAATTGAATATCCTCAGAATAATCTTTACCACAAGACACACTCATAAAATAAAAAATTCCAAACGAGTTTTTAATAAGTCTATATACACATAATTAAACTATATAAAGAACAGTATAAAAAAAGTATATGTCAGTATGGTGAGAGCTATCTCCAAGTAAAAATGATAAGGATATTAGCGAATGATAATACTTTTGATAGACCTTACTGCAATAACATGTATATTATGAGAATATTATACCAACTCTTTCTCAACAAAAATCTGATCGAAAAGGAAAATATTTTTTAAAAAAATTACTTACGTTGTGTTTGGTTAGGGGATTTGAGGAGGGATTTGGAAAGGAAAAGGGAAAAGGTGTGCGAAACTATGTGAAATATAGATATGTTTTATTCATATTCCACCTATCTTTTCCATTTCCCTTTCCAAATCCCCCTCAAATCTCCTAACCAAACACAGTATTAGTGAATGATACCTTATTAAAATGGAATCTGGAATAACAAGATACACGCAAGTTATTCATATTTTTTATAAATTATTATTGTGGGCAAGCTTTTGCGAGGATATATTCATCAAATAGTACAAAAATAACAATACCACATATTCAAAAAGAAAAAGATACTCATTATGGATATACTCACATCGCATTAATTTTAAATTTATATCACACATTAATTTTCTGAATAAAATTGAAATAATTTTCATAGTACATAAATTTTTTGGTGAAAAAATATTCTCTCAATTTTTTATTTTTTTATTTTTTCAGATAGGCAGTGGTGGGTCAACAAAAGGGGATTGAGTATGGTCCATTTCCTGTCCCTCAGCAAGGACTACCAGCCAAGTTCTGGCAAGAAGTGTTCAACCACCAGATCTGATGTTTTTGGGATTAACTAGAAATATGTTATTCTTATCAATTATTATTAACCAGAGACATTGAATTAATATATGCTTTTTGAAACATAACAACATAACCATAACATTCCTTTGTTATTTTTCCAACTGCATTATTAATTTCATGTCTCTGTCAGTAAAGGTTTTTGTGTTTTTAAGATTTGTATGGGAGAATATGATTTACTCTCTCTCATCTTCTATTTTCTTAACATCTCTAATCTAATTATCCTATATTTTGTGGGTGTTTTTCTTTTTCAATAATATTATGATGACTACACTAAGAGCATCTCCAACGGTGACTCAAATTTTTCACCAAATTTGAGTCAAAAATGACCCATTTCACTAAATTTGATACCACTCGCTCCAACGGTTCACCTTTCACCAAATCTATCCCGGGACAACCGGGTGGTCGACCGGCCGGTTGACCGGTTAGGTAAAAAAATTTTTTTTTTTTTTTTTTGCGAATTGTCTGAACTTTTTTTTGAACTTTTTCGGGACGACCGGGGTGGTCGACCAGCCAGTTGACTGGTAAGGCAAATTTTTTTTTTTTTTAACGGTTTGAACTTTTTTTCCTGAATTGTTTGAATCTTTTACTTTACTGGTTGACCGGTGTACCTCTTTCAACGGTCAGTAACAGTGATTTGGTAAAATCTGTGTCTCGTTCTCAGTTTGATACTTTTTTTGTTGAAATCTCATTTTGATATCAATCTGGTGCAACGATTGGAGCTTGAAAAAGTAGATTTTTCATCAAAATTTGAATTTGATGCTGAGTTTGGTTCACCGTTGGAGATGATATAATATTAGTAGTGTTTAATTCAAGTTTGTTAACTAATGCTTTTAAAACACTTGCAACAGAAAATTATAATAATTTTTTCCACATCTAAAAGTATCAACTCAATATATTGACATAATATTCTTAAATTAATAAAAATAATAATTTAAAAATAAATAAAATCGATCTGACTCACTTTAATTGACTGAGTAAAATAAATGCAGACTCTGTTCACCTTCTTTTACATGAGATCTCATTGATCTTATCAGGTGCATATCATTGAATTCCCTTCGGTTTGCTTCACTTACTTAAGATGGACTGTTAATTATAAAAATAAAATTTACAAAAAAATTAAAAATGTGCATAAAATTACTTCATGTGGAGGCCAGCAGAAGTGGCCTTAGAAGTGCCACGTGGTAGCTGTATGATTGGCCAGGTAGAAAGGAACATATCCTTGGCCGAAGTGCACCCTCTCTAAAGCACACAAGAAGTTTGTTAATATTTTGTCAAGGTTTGGAGAGGGACCAATATATATACCAAAGCACACCACAATTGTAGCCATGCCCATTTGGGGCGAACAGTGGATATATTGATCCGTAAAAATTGATCGAATCGAATTGATTCGTCATATTTTTTACCAATATGTAATAATGAGCGGACGGTTACAGATTGATTTTCTCTAATCCGCCAATCTGGCGAACGGATGGCGGATTTGAGATTCTTTTGGCCACAACCGAACCGCCAAACAGTGAGCACCCCTAGTAGTTTATAAGACTTTGTATTTTCAGTTTGTTTAAATATTCTGTTTGTGTTTTCAATTAAAAAAGAATTTAAATATTCTGTTAAAAAAAATTCAACTTGAATATCTTTTTGAATTGAAAAAATAAACGTATTATTTATCTATATTTTTTGGTTTTTAAATCTATCTCTAAAAATAATAAATAAAAAATATGATATATGCTGGTTGGTTTTTGTTTTCAAAAAATGATATAGATGTAACAATACAGAGACATACAATCTCTACTACTGCTCTTTCATAGTTTTGGTGGTTTGAATTGTTTTTATATTTTAAGAATCACAGATTGTAATACTTTATGTGAATGAGGCATGCTGTGATTGTAGTATGTGGATGAGGTATGCAGTGATTGTGATATTTTAAAGTTTCAAACTTTCTTACTTTGAATGAGACATGCAGTGATTGTAATATTTTTTTTAAGTCATTGATTGTAATACTCTCTTCTTCTTCTTTTTGAAGAAGTGCACAAGTTGAATTATGTTGAAAATTTATAAAATTTTAAACCGCCAAACCGATTCGCATCCATCCGCCAAACTGCCAATCCACTCAATCCACATCCGCCGGATTGGAGGACGAATGCGGATTGATTTTCTCTAATCTGCCAATCTGGTAGACGGATGATGGATTAGAGATTCCGTAACCGCAACCGACCCGCGTCCACCCCTAATGCCCATTGTCCCAAGCTTTCACGCCAACCCTTTTCCTGTTAGTTCACAAATTATTCCAGAACTTACATTATTAAGAAATGAGTTATATATCAAGTTGATCATTTCGCTCTCACGTGTGTGACGATCGCACGTGGAGAGGAAGCAATTAAACTAGTGAACAAGGTGCACGAACACGGAAAAAGAAAAAAGAAAAAAGAAGATCAACAATACACAATTATAGCTATAACTTTTTGATCGTAAGAATATTGGAGTTCTTATAGCATGTTGCATCAATAATTATTCTAAAACTAAGCTTTTAAAAATAATGAACCCAACAAGGTAACAATTCCAACCAATAATGTCCATTTTTCATGGGATTTTCTCAAAGTCCAAACCATAGAAAAGCTTCAGGTACAGAAGTTTTGAAAACTGCCAGTTTCATGGATAGTTTGGAGATGACAAGAGAATCATTGGTAAGCATATAGAAGCCCCCACATTCCTGAGATTTCATCTAGTAAACAAATTGAAAAGAAAGTTACAAAGTTTGAATTGAATTCAATAATAAACGAAAATTTATCCACACTTCTGTTTGAAGCATGTCATCTGTTAATGTAAATTGTATAAATTACCACTACCTACCACCTCCACTACCACCTACACCTACCACCTCCACTCACCTTAGCCGTCCGCCGGACCTCAACCTATTCCGTTTATTTTTTACACATACCTTCCACAGCCAACTGTTCCATTCGCAATTCAAGCTCCCTTGGTCAAGCTTCCATCCTCCGACTCAAGCACCATGCTCAAGCTCTCCAAACTCCTCCAGCAAAGAGGTTTTCACATCACCTTTGTCAACACTGAGTTCAACCACAAACGCCTCCTCAAATCTCGGGGCCCCGACTCCCTCAACGGGCTCTCTTCCTTCCGGTTCGAAACCATACCCGATGGGCTCCCCGAGTCCGATGCCGATGCAACCCACGACATCCCACTTCACACCTCCGACTACATCGATTCCGACGACGAAGACCTCTTCAATTCCATCCTCGATCGCATCTCTACCCAAGCTCGACAGCCCAAGCATTTGTCCCATACCTCCAAATCCTTCATCAATTCACTTCCAATCTTGAAAATCACCGGGTCCCTATTATCCAAATCTTGCTCAATTTGCAAGGATGAGTTTGAGAAAAATGATCAAGTCAATCCATTGCCTTGTGATCATGTTTTTCATCACAATTGCATCCTTCCGTGGCTCAATCGCAGCAATTCGTGTCCCTTGTGTCGGTACAAGTTGCCCATGGAGAGGAGACCGAAGCCCTTGATGCTGTATGTGGTGAGGTTGGGGCATTTGTATGTGGAAGGATGGGGTGAAGACCATGAAAGTGGGTTTCGTGACGCCGTGCTGAGGAATGGACTGTTTGCTGTGTTGACTCAGCAGCAGTCTTCATCTTCCTTCACCGCAACGCGAATGGGGAGAGCAAGTGGGAACTGCTAGTAGTAATGTGAAGTCCAACTATGTAAAGCAAAACTCCGAAACCCTACCATCCCAGAAGAAGAAGAATGTCGTCGGATGCCACCATCGCCAGCGCCGGCAACCCCAACGCCGCCACAAACCAATCATTCCGGTGCCACAACTGTCGTATCGCCACCGCCGCTGCCGCCCGCCGGTGACTTGCATAGTCTCCGATGGGGCTATGAGCTTCACTATGGATGCTGCTGAAGAATTGGGGCATTCCTGAAGTTCTTTTCTGGACAACTAGTGCCTGTGGATTCATGGGTTATGAACAGTATCCTAATCTTAGCGTTGTGCAACATTTTCGAAAAGTAATTCCCATAGAAAGAAGACAATCTCGGGCTTGTGCAAAACTGTCCACTCTTGGGTTAACTTTGGGAAACTTTTCTTCTTTTTTTTTTTTATTATTTTACTCCATCGTTTGGAAACTCAGCTTTTCTTTTTTTTATCACCCACCAATCCTTACTTTAAAACCACACTTTATTTTTTTATTATAAACCACACTTTTTGCAAAGCCCACGACACAGCTTTGCACATGCTATAACATTATTTTTCTTTATTTTTTATTTTTTAATTCCATCCACTCCCTCTCTCTCTCATCCTTTTTCTATCTACTAAACCCACTTTCATCATTTCTCACGTGATTCTCTTCTTATTATTTCTTTCTTTTTTTATTTTTCTTTCACTTTATTTTTTCATCTTTTTTTTTTTTCATTATTATTTCTTTGCCAAAAAAAAACAAAAAAAAAAAAACCAAAAAAAAAAAAAAAAAAAAAAAAAAACAAAACAAAAAAAAAGAGAAAGAAGACCAACTGCACACCAACTTATTTTATTCGTATCGGGGCTCACCCCGATCACCATTTTACACCACTTCACAAAAAAAAAAACCAACACAAATTGGAAAAAAAAAAAAAAAAAAAACACAACTTGGAACAGTGGGTTTTTTCGTCTCTACTCTGCCGCCGGTCTCTTCTTCTTGCCTCCGTCCTGCGCGGCCCTTGACGGTGTTGCCTCCGTGTTTCCTTGTCCACCGAGCACGTTCACGCCCCCATATTCCTCCACTGCAGTATATGGCGGCCCTCCAAAACGGAACATCACGGTGGCCTTCCGCTTCAACTCTTTATTTTCTGCTTTCAGCACGCTCATCTCTGCTCGCGCTTCCTTATACATGCGTTGGAGCAGAGCCAGCTGGGAGTTTAACTGCTGCACCTCATTTGTCCTACTCTGTAGCCGGTGCGACAGATTTGTGACCGCCGTCATGGACTCCACACATGCCTTCAACGTATACTGATTGGCCTCCACATCCGACTGCACCGCCATTTTTTGCTCCACAGACCGCATCGGAAAGTTCAGCGGAGCAAACCCAGCAGTGTTTGGTTGAGGTTCACTGGCCACCGCACCAGTTCTCTCTCCTGTGGACTCGTTGAGGTCGGGAAAGAGGGGTGGGTTTGTGGTATCCAATGCCTCAGATTTCTCTCTATAAAAAGAGAGTTCATTCTCTTTATCACATACAATACAGAAACACATCAATCTTGTAATATATACATATCAATCAATAATAATACATCAATTTATCTTTCA